ACCCCCGGGCGCGCAGCTGGGGGGAGCGAGCGGCAAGGGGGGGCCGCCCTCGGGCATGTGTCAAGGGAGGGCCCGCCCCCGGGCGCACTAGTGTCCCCGCCCGCTGGCGCCCGGCGGGCAAACGGCCAAGCCCCCTGGCGCCCGACAGCCTCAAAAGGTTGGGGACCACTGGTCTAGACAGTATTTGGTCCTGCCATGAGGGCAGGGGACTGGACTCGATGACCTCTCGAGGTCCCTTCCATTCCTAGTATTCTGTGATTCTTTTCCCTCTCCCCGACCTTCTCATGCTTCTGCATTCCTGTTATACTAACTACTTTTCCTTGTTGCCTGGGCCCCAGCAGTCAAATCAGTCAGTCTTTCTGTTTTGAGTTCCAGTGCTTGGTGCTTCTGGAAAGAGAAGTTGCAGGGAAAGTCTAGCTCAGCCCTGTGGTTCTGGGGGAGAGCTTATCGGGTTGCTCTTGGCAGTGGTACACATGCAGTCTGGTTGGCACAAAGGAACTTTATTGTAGAGTTTGCTCAGTGCTGATATACTCTTTGGGGGATTTGTCAAGCTACAATAAGCCTTACAGAGCATGTGTGAACAGTTTGGGTAGATTGTGGAAGGAATAGTAAAAAAAGTTCACACCTGGAGGTAGGACAGCTCCCCTTTACCAAATTTTTAGTCTCAGCTCCAAAGTGAGCTTTTTAGTAAAACAGTTGTTAGATTATTTTAAGAATGGCAAAATAATTTATATTTCCCCTAAATTTGTTCTTAGACATGGCAACATTATTTCCACCAAAACTCCTTCCTCCCCCAGTCTTTTTCCATTCCCCACCCCAGAAAAATCAGCCTGAGACAGACTGGTGGCATGCAAAATCTCAGCTTGAATTGTTAGAGTGCTAATGTTATTGACAGCTGAAAACAGGGTCTTATAATTGAAGCTGATAGGCAACATTAACTAGCGATTTTGCCACCAGTGCTACCTCTGATGATGTAATAGTTTTAGCAGGTCTCAATTTTTTTTACACTCTCTATTGTTTTTTTTAACTAAGACATTATGTGAAGACATCTTAATGTGCCAAACAAACATTAATAAAGGTAGCCTCAAAACATTGCTGGGACACAAGCGGTAGAAGATAGGAGAGCTGATACGTTCTGTCTTGTATATGGGAAGATGAACAGATGTTTGGCTTGTCATATAAGCAGGCATAGATAGAGACCAGGAATAAACTCCTGATCTACTTATTCCCAGTTCATTTTTACCCACAGGCCAGCCTGCCTTGTCTTTTAGCTATATTTTCCTCTATGTAAATATCTCTCCTTGAAGCTTAAGAAATTATATATTGACTTAGTTCGAACTTTGAGGTAATGTCTGCAATTGCAGATTCCAGTGCTCAGCTCAGTAATGATACTGAGTACAAGAAACAGTTCTGGTAGCACACTTATCAACCCCATGTATGTGTGTGCACTGTTAATAAACCCTGCTCTCCTGTACAAATATTACTACAGGAGAAAGATTAGCAATAGTATGATGGTACCAGCATCAGATTCACAAGACTAGTAAAGACCTGCTAACGTAAAATTTCTTCTTGTTGATTTGTGATGTTGAATTGGCATTTTGTGGGATGTAGTATGATACGAATTTTGCAACTACATTCCCTGCTGGGCAGCATAGTGACATTTATGAGATGTTCCCTGGATGTAATTAAGGCAGTGTGTTTTCAGTTTCCTTGCTTGTCGGTATGATCCTAATTGGTGGCTTGATTTGTTAATGGGGAATGATAGTGAGTTTTAGAACTTTGGAGTTGTAAGCTTTAGAAATAAGAATATTCTAATGATTGCAGTGTTCTTAAAAACAAAACAAAAAATACTGGTCCTAATACTCAAATGTAATTGTTTGTTACATCTTGCTTATAAAATATCTTGAAACAATCTAAAATATAAACATTTTCCTGATATTTATTAATAATCTTTGCAGGAAACATGAAAGAAAAATGAAACATGATGAGATACGCAAGAAATATGGTATGTATGCTAATCTTACTAGAATATCTGAATAAATTCTCCTCTTCTCTCTGCTCACTCTCTAAATAGGTGTATTCCATCATATTGGTAATGGATATGGAGCCTTTCACCTCAGGATCTTTAGTGTAGGTTAATAGTGGTTGAAAAGTCGCTACCATTTGACTGTTCAGTGGCTTAAGTAAAATAGACTGGCTGGCCTTAGTCCAGTTTCATATGGAGTGATAATTAGAATCCTTATTAGCATTCACAGCAGGAAAACAAGGATTAAATGGATATTTTGGAGCCTGAGGTATGTTCATTTCTGCAGTTGCTCTAAAATAGATTTGTGGCACAGTAGTGAAGTATGAGGGAGTTTTGTACTACCGTTGCCTGTGTTGTGCTTCTTATTAAAAGACTTCATTATTCAGAGCATTCAGTCTTAGCCCTTTTCACTTTTTATTTGTTCATCAGGCTGCTGGTGCAATGTATCCAAATATATACAATAAAAAGATTTACAAGTTGAACCTCTCTAGTTTGGCACTCTCTGATCTGGCACTATCCGAGATCCGGCATGATTTTAGTTAGCTGCATGTCCACTTACCATGGGTGTGGCCAAGGTCTTGAAGTCCCATCAAGTTTGTTCACAGCCACCAGTCCTGGCTCTCAGTGTTCTTTTCTGTTATTTAGCTCTAATTTACCCCTAAATGTCTTCTAAGAGCCCAGCAAGCTGTGGAAGTGTTGGTTATGCTGCTAGACAGTATTGACCTCCTGTGGTCTGGCACATTTTCTGGTTCAGCGCTGGTCAGGTCCCGAGGGTGCTGGATTAGAGAGGACCAACCTGTATTGTGTTTTTTATAATGTTAATTACACCAGTGTCAAAAATAATTATTTTGTATTTAGACCTCTGACCAGCCATTTTAATTTCCAAGTTTCTTGTTTAATTGATTGGCAAGGGATGGGAATGTCTTCATTATTCTGCAACAAGTCCACTGGCTGATGCAGGAGTGTTTTAGATGAGCACTAAAAGGAATTTCATGGAAATAAAGGAAGCTTGCAATAACTGGGCTGCTTAGAGAACCTCAAGAGTAGAAGGAGGGAAAATTGTTATAGAAGCTATGCAGATATTAAGTGGATGTAATGATGTATAACATGACTAATCTTGGCCTTCAAATTTCTGTTCAGTTTTAAAATATTTGTTTGAATTACATGGGGGAGGGGTATAAAAAGATTTATATCAGTGCATTTTGTTTGAAGATCAACTCCTCCCTTCTAACTTCTTGGTGCTTTATTTTGCACACTTGATGGGTTAAATCCTGTGGGGATACTTAGCTTCCTATTATAGCCAATAAAACACTCTGCACTGAAGTCAGTGGAACTACTCAAGTGCTTGAAGTTGAGCATTTGCTTAAATACTTTGCTAGGTCTTGTCAGAATGCTTAGTGCCTTGCAGGATTGAGCCTTATAATCATTTGTATTCTGGCTATAAATCTACCAAGCTCACTTGCATGTCAATGTGTCACCCTGCTCCCTCTGAAGTCAATAGCTCTGTCATTGACTTCAGTGGGAGCACATTTCAGCCCTCAGTGTGCAAGTGTAAACCTTGACTTCTAATAAAATCATTAGATATATGCTTTTTTTTTGCATACTTTAACTATTGTCACACAATAGATTAACAATTCAATTTGGAAACTTCAAAATTAACCTTTTTGTAAAATTGATTTATTTGCAAAGTAAGTTTCATCTGTTCATCTTCAGACAACACTAACTTATGTTATCAAACCATATGCAATTTCTCATAATTAATGACTTGCTCAAAAGAGGCACCAACCTGGATTATGAAGATATGTGTGGTTAAAGAGGACGTGATTGAAAGGAGAAATGTTCTATTCAATTTCTTGAAATCCTTAAGTAACATGAAATGACTCCTACATGAAACTCTTTATTTTGAAATAAACAAATCCAGAATAGTTCAGTACAAATGCTACAGTAAAAGTACAAATGCTAATTCTCATCTTTGAATTACTAATTCTCATTTTAAAATGTGGTTATAAAAATAATTACACGCGACATAAGACAGGTCTTCAGCACAACCTTGAATCTTCTACATCTGTCTTCATTTTTAGCTGTCTAATAAATACAGTCCCATAAAAATTGCTGCAGAAAATTATGGCGACACTAGATTATTTTTGCTGCCTCTTACACATTACAGAGGGGATTCACTGTTAAGTAGGCTAAGATGAGTGGCAGAATGACAATGGCTTTGTTAACCTGACTCTGTAAATTAAGATGATCATGCCTGAAATGTCAGCCCTTGGTTGGCTTTAAGGGAATGCCTTTTTCCATTTTACCCACCAGCTTTTCTTACCCCATTTAAATGGTAATTACACATTTATAATGCATTGCAGGTGTCGTTCACTTCAGCCATAGTCCTTTGGGAGCACTGGAAGCAATAGAGCTTTAGTAATGGGGAATACTCATTTTGAATTGTTTTTGTTGCAAAATTTGTCACTCTTTTTAATTTGCTCACGTATACGAATGAAGTATGATTATTCAAATTATATGTTGATGGTTTAACAACCTTTAAAATAGAATGTAGAGTATTTCTCCGCTTGTATTGCATACAATGAAACTATGATTTAACAGCTAATATGGAGGCAATAATTACACATTTAATATAGCATTAGTAAGATGCTGCTTTACTGTCTGTACTTTTGGATTTTTGCTTGGTTATAATGGAAGGATCCTACCTCTCCAAGGTAATAAAGAATGTCCTTTGTCCTCAGTTACACACAGTAATTTCTCTTCATGATTTGGGATCCCATGTTCCTTGTTTCCTCTTAAATTCTGCAAAGACATTTGATAGTCATTCTAATGCTCCATAATCCTACTTCTGTGCTTTGATTTTACATAAGGCATTTATGTTTTAAAAGTTTATTGCAGTAAATAGCTATACTGGCCTACATGGGTTTAGTGATCTGAATGCAAAACATTTGAATCACTTCTAAGTCCTCTGGTTTTATAAATGTTGTTATACTTACTTTATTAGCTTGTAATTCAGGAGTTGAGAGCCAATTGACTATTTTTTGTGTTGAATGAATGAGAAAAGTGTGCCTAGACTAAAAAAAGAAGATGGGGAACTATATAGCAAGCCCCACATCCAATCTAGTACAATTAGTTTTCAGTGTGTACACCAGGGGTGGACAAAAATTTTTGATGGGGTGGGGGGTACTTCAAGATTTTGAAAAGTGATTGAGGGCTGCACTCTTCCATGATATTAATGGAGGAGGTGCGGGGTCTGGGATGGAGGTTAGGTGCAGGAGGAAGTTTTGGTGAAGGAGGCCATTGTGACCTGGGGCACCGGACTGGGCTAGAGGGAGTTGAATTGTGACCTAGGGCAGGGAATTGAAGTACAGAAGGGGGTGCAGAGATTTGGGTTATGAGCTAGGGCAGGAGGGGACTGTGATCTGGGGCAGGAGATTGGGGTGCCGGATCTGGGAGAGGATATGGGTGCAGGAGGGGGGCAGAGGATTTGGGTATGTGGAGGTGGGGGGCAGAAGGGTAAGGAAGGGAGGGACAGGGGTGCCAGAGGTAGGCTCTGCCAGGAGACTTACCAGCCAACAGCCTCTCTGTCTGATCCGCCCCTGCACACGCTGTAGCCATGTGCTCTGGAGCCCCTTGTACTTCATGTCTGTTTGCTGTTGAAACAGGAAGCTCCCACTGGCTAGTTTCTGGCCAGAAACCGGGCAGTGGGATTGTGCTGGGGGCAGGAGCAGCTCCTAAAACTTCCTCCCCTCCCTTCTGGACTCTCAGTTTTTAAAGAAAAAAACCCCCAAAGCCACCTTTTCTGAGTGGTGCGCAGGTGGGGCGAGGCAAGCGGGGATCTTGCCTGGGGCTCCCCACAGCATCCGTGGGCTGGATCTGGTGGCTTGCTGAGCCAGACTCGGCCTGCGTGTATACACTATTTGAAGTATAAATCATTGCATTTGTGAAAGGTTAGGATCCATTCTGGCTGACTAGGATACCAATATAACACATTAACCCAACACATAACAGCAGTGAATACTAGTGAGACAGCTAAGCTAGTAGGACATTTACATTTGTCTTGCCAGTTTCCATATGTTGAGGCCTTGTATTTTCATCATGTTTGAAGAAAGATATTTAATTCTGACAACTTAAGATATCCAGGAACACTTAAGCAAAGTTGAGTAAACCAACTAACAAATTAAACTGATTGCAAAATATTAAGCCAGAATAAACTACAATAGACAGATGAGTCAATCTGCTTTTTTACAAGCCTGTTGTTCATGACCAAGTTTAGAAGTGACCTGAGTCAGCCTTTAAAATGAGTTTCAGGAGTCTTGTCTAACAGGTGTGTACTCGGAACTTCAAAGTCCAAAGCAAGAATTAGATTTTTCACATCTACCTCAGAAGGAAAATCACCAAAAGTAAAGAAGCCCCTTATGCCTATCAAAGGACAGTGAGTGAGCTCTAGCTGAATTCAGCTATGTGATGACTTTTAGCTCTAGATCCTTCCACCTTTGAGCCACAACAGCCAAGACGTGGCAGCTGACTGTGGCCTATCACCATCCCTACCGTTTTGGCCATCCTCTGGTGGTTCCCCAGATCTTTGTGTTCATCCATTACATATGTCAAGTCTCCTTTTCCGCTAAGAGCCAATACAAGCTACCTAATGCTGTCCCTTGGTCTCTTTTTCTAGTGATTTTTCAGTTTGCGTTCTCCGATAAGAAAAAGGAAGAAACCAAAATTGTTGGGATGTGAGGTGTGGCACATAGGGGTGGGATGAATAGAAACAAAGGATGGGAGGTTGAGAACAAGGCATACACATATATCCATACTAAATTCACTGATTATTTTGGTAAATTTTAGGAATGCATCATGGTAACTGTTTAAGCATGAGCTTATCGGTTATTGTAATGGTTACGTGCCTGCTCCTGGAGCAGGGAGCAAGGCTGGAAGCTGGCTTAAAAGCAGGCTCCCAGCACTCACTAGCTCCCTAAGAGCACGGTATCAGGTGGGAGCTGGCTGCTGCCTTGTGCTGCAGGCTCTGCAACATAAAGCTTATACTGCAGAGCCCGCAGCGCGCACACTGGCTGTCACCCCTGCTCCTGGGGAGCCAGCTGTGCTGCGAGCTCTGCAGAACCTGCAGCATGTAACCTGTAAGACTTGTAATGGTTACCTAATTAACTGCTTTTTAACATCCCTAGTAAATGTCATGCTCATAGGCTAAGTTCCCTATTAGCTGCACGACTGCATAGCTGTTTTCTGAACTCTGCTCAGAAGTTCAAAGCTCCCGTGCAGGCATGGTGAGGCATGGTCTTAGTGAGGCATGGTCGTCTCACTAAGCAAGCAGCTAAAGAGAGCTGCTTTGTGTTTAAACACATTTAAAAGGCAGAGCCGCATTGGGGTTAGCTCCCTGGGCTGGGAGCTAACCCTACTGTGGCTCCCCTGCTTATCAACTAGTCAATGGAAATTCTATCAACTAGTCAGTTAGTTGATTAAACTAAATATAACATCCCTACCATCTTGTGACACATTATTTCTCATTGGAAGGAAGGCATGCTGTTTCAGCTATGCATCCCTCCTCTCCAGGAGGTTAAGGTAAAGGGAAACTTCTTCACTCATTTCAGGAGCCTTTGTTCTTGGTGCTGTGAAATTAAAAATTCTGCCTGAAATCAGGCGGGCTTGTGACCTGTAATAGCCACACTTGACGGACCTGAAGGTTTATATCTGAAATATTTAGTTACCCCAAGATTTAGTATCCTTCTTGGATAAAAAGTATTGAAATGAAAACAAGTTAAAACTAGTTACAAAATATTAATAATTTGTGGAAATTACACTATGATATTAAGACTAATAATTTAGTAAAACTAAAACATATCACTAACAAGCATCTGCAGTAACAGTGGTAATTATAATTATTCTATGCTTCTTTTAAAATTGTCATGTAAATTATATATTTTAAATTAATCTTATGAAAGAAAGATGCTAAGATTTTGCCAGGCAAAGTTTAACACCGAGAGATATGCAAGATATAGGAAATAAAGAGATTCTATATTCCTTTCAGGAGAAAAATAAGAGCTCATATTTTTAGTTGCAGCAATTGTCACATCCAGTTTCCCACTGGCTAGGGCAACTAGTCAAGATGGGAACCCTTTTGATTAGCATAAGATTTTTTTTTTTTATGAAGGCTTCAAAGGATTTTATTTCATCAGAAAGACCCTTTCATCCCAAAGTTCATTTTGTCACTGATTCTTTCTTCACTATAAGAAAGGGCTTTAGAACTTAGGTTCTCAAAATTCTATGTGGAATCTAATCAGTGAAGAGAATTTATAGTCTACTTGGTGAAAGGTGTAAAATAAATGGTCATGTCTAGGATTGTTACCTCTTTATATAGCCAAATATTGTATTAAGCTAGCTAATTTATTTATTAAATAGGTACTGCCTACAATAGGTATACATACAGAATGGTTTTTTTAAAAGCCAACCTCTCTACATTCAACATGTCATTAATTGAAGCCTTTTCACGTTTGCATCAGGGTATGATAATAGCTATAATTTACTCTTCTGCTTGTAATTGGAAAGGATATATAGCATTGCAGATTATTCTACTGATAGGTTTAGCATATAATAAATTTTCTGAATTAACTTCCAGAGGGATTACTGATGTAAAAAAAGACGTACTCATTTTATAAAGATATGCACATTATTGTGTGCATGTATATGGCAATCTTAAATTTTACTGATTCATTGTCAGGGTGCCAAAATTGATGATGATTAACCCTGATGAATTAATGGAAAGTCTACTCCAGATTCTGAATATACATTATTGTATAATAAGATAAATCTGCCATTTGTTTATGGAAAATGTCTGTCAAATAAATTGATCTAAAATAGTAAGATAAGAACATAAGAACCCCCATACTGGGTCAGACCAAAGGTCCGTCTAGCCCAGTATCCTGTCTGCAGACAGTGGCCAATACCAGATGCCCCAAAGGGAGGGAGCCCAACATAATCACATAATCCTCATGTGATCACTCTCCTATCACCCAATTACAGACAAACAGAGGCTAGGGGCACCATTCCTACCCATCCTGGTTAATAGCCATTGATGGACCTAACCTCCATGAATCTATCTAGCTCTTTTTTTGAACCCTATTAAAGTCCTAGTCTTTACTACATCCTTTGGCAAGGAGTTCCACAGGTTGACTGTGCTCTGAGTGAAGAAAAACTTTATTTGTTTTAAACCTGCTGCCTATTGATTTTATTTGGTGACCCCTAGTTCTTATATTGTGGGAATAAGTAAATAACTTTACCTTATTCACTTTTTCCACACCAGTCATGATTTCATATCATATCCCCCCTTAAACTTCACTTTTCTAAGCTGAAAAGTCCAAGTCTTTTTAATCTCTCTTCATAAGGGACCCATTCCAAACCCATAATCATTTTTGTTGCCCTTTTCTGAACCTTTTCCAATGCCAGTATATCTTTTTTTGAGATGAGGTGACCACATCTATACTCCGTATTCAAGAAGTGAGCTATCAAGAAGTGGTTTTATATAGAGACAATAAGGTATTTTCTGTCTTCTTCTCTATCCCTTTTTTACTGATTCCTAACATTCTGTTTGCTTTTTTGACTGCCGCTGCACACTGAGTGGATGTTTTCAGAGAACTATCCACAAGGATTCCAAAATCTCTCTTGAATAGTTGTAGCTAAATTAGTCCCCATCATTGGGATTATTTTTTCCAATATGCATTACTTTACATTTATCAACATTAAATTTAATTTGCCATTTTGTTGCCCAATCACTTGCATTTTCATATATTGGTCTAAGGATAGAAAGCTATTAAATAAGTTATATACAACAAGTATACAAGATCTTTGTTTTATACAGGGTTTAACAGAGATTGGGGAAAAAATCTAGTTTTAATCCATTAATAACAGGGATATATATCAAATTCATTAGATCTCATACATTCCTACCATTTATAAGAGATTTTTTTGCATTGTACTGTTAGGTTTTAAAAGCTTTGAATGATCTTGCCAATGATTCTAGCAATTTTCATATTTATTGTATTGTTCTAACACCTATAAACAGGGATCGCCGAACCACGGCGAGCCCTGCTCGCCATCCGCACTGTCCCGCGATCTGCACATGCGCAGATCGCCCGAACCCAGCTCTTCCAGGTTGCAATCTACTCGCCACGAGCAAGTAGATTGCATTATTTGTCGAGCCCTGCCTATAAACCATATTATTACAATGTAAACATCTGTAAAGTGTAAATATTTGCATATCTGATTGTAGCTGAAAGGTTTTGTGGTCCAGGAAATAAATGAGGCTCCCTTCCTTGTAGGGATGTTGCCTCACTAATGTACATTAATTACCTTCATGCATTAGGGAACAAGTAGTCCGAAAGTGTTGTTTTGATCACATTTCAGCCTCCTGAAATACCAAACATTCTGTTGCCAGGGCTTGAAAATGTATTGGCTTTTAACCCAAGAAACTGACTAATACTGTCTTGCCTGGCAATTTGATACATTAGTCATTGGACTGTGCCTAAACTGTACTTGTGACTAGTACCCCATTTGCTTTTGTGCTTTAGCTAGAGAAGTGAAGGCTCAGAACCTACACCTTGAAACACGCATGCATACTCTCTCTGCCTAGAATCTGCTGGTGACAATGTGGAGGTTGGGCATGGTACAATCTTCTTTTTTTCCCCCTTCCGTGGCACGGTCTGTTATGAAGAGGGGAATGTAGTGAAAACCCCATTTCCCTGACACTTGCCTAATATAAAGCAGCTAAGAAAGGCGGTGCTTCAGATTTTCCAGGCATCACTTGCCAAAGCCAGTATGAAAGATAGCAAAAGCCCTTTTGCTCCTTTACAGCAAGGTTCTGCCATTGGGCCCCTTTATCTTTAGTGTACTCTTCTGGCTAGTGAATATCTAGTAAGTTTCTCAAGGTCTTGTTGAATACCTCTGTATGGAATGAGGATTATTACTGAATTAAGCTTTATAGAAGATGTTCACAGGTACTAATTCAGTATAATTCAGTGTCTTTGCAGTACTTTGTGGCCATATTCTGTTTTTTTGAAAAATCTTTGAATGCACACAGTGTGACCTGGGTTGGATGATACCTTCATTCCTGTCTCCAGAAGTTTCAGTGAGTTTGCAGCTGATCTGTATTTGTGCTGAGAGGACATTGGCTGGTATCACAGAGTTACTACATATCACTGATTGAACTTGACAGGTTTTTGCTCAAGAGTGAAACAGAATTAAGCCAGCATGATGACCTCCCACCTTTTTGAAAGGCTAGTCCTTTTACAGCAAAGTTGAATTTATTGGCAGAGCATTTTGAAACTGCATCTGCTTAGCCATCTCCACACTTAGTCTTTGATAAAGAATTGCCAAATTAGTACCATGTCCTTCAGAAATGCAAAATACTATTTCTCTTTGTTGACTTTTATAAAGAAATCCTTATCTCTTGTATGTTAAACTTAACTCTTCATGTGAAATTCATGACTTTTGGCTGAGAAATAAAATGGCTTAACACTTTTTCTTATTTCCTACTAGATATGAGTAGTTGTATTATATACTTTAAGATCATCATCGAATGAAGTGGGTTTTACCCACGAAAGCTCATGATACTGTATAGTTTTGTTAGTCTGTAAGGTGCCACAGGACTATTCATTGTTTTTTAAGACTAAGATTCTTTTTTTTTTTTTTAATTCTGCGTTTGTACAGCACCTAGCACAATTCCTGGTCTGTAACTAGGTCTCCTATGTGATATGGTAATATAAATAATACTAAATGCTGTCATTTTTTTTCTCCAGGTCTCCTTCAGGATTCTGATCATCCTTATAGTAGATTTGAGAATGAATGAAAACAGACAGTGCTGAGCCTCATCATCAAACGCTAAGATTTCAGGATAAATGAGCACTTTTATTTTGCTTTTCAGTGGTCTTCAGGCTTTTTTTTTTTAAGTTTTCAGACAGTAAAATTAAGTGCACAGTTATTTACTAAAATATGTATTTTTAAAATCTGGCATATTTACCTTTTAGAACTAACTTTTTTGTGAATACTTTGGTTTTTGAAATGTTTGCCAATTGGGCTCTCATTAACTGTGAAATATCACCATTCCTCTTTTATTAAGGTTTTTTTTTTGGAATCTGATTTAAATTGTTAGCTTCCTAATCATGTATTTGAACCTATTATCTTAGCTCACCTATCTCTCTCAAAAAATAAAATTTAATTCCTCTGTTCGCATGTTCCTGAATAAAGATTTTCTTTCTAAATCTGTTGTATGCAAATGGGGGCAAGAGTAAAGGATGTGTCTGATACTAATGTGGTCTTGGTGTTACAATGAATAATAATTAGTGTACAAATTCTTTAATATCAAAATAATATGTAAAGTTTTTAAATATGCAAAATAGGATTTTTGAGTAGCATAGTCTGATGTAGAAATGTTAGTTTATTACCAGGATATGTCCTTGATTTGAAATGCATGCAAAATCTGAATATGTATAGAAAGTTTGAGAGGTAATATTAGGCTGTTTAAAATACTTTTTTCCCTGAACAGTTTCTAAATTAAAAATACTGTATAATGCCAAAATAGCATCCATTTAACAGGCATAATTTCATACTTTTCACTATTGAGCATTTTTGTGGGAAATTTTCATAATGCATTGAGCTCTGTCATTTTCCTGGGTTGGTGTGGATTTTCATTTTGTTTCTCTTCATACATAAATGCTTTCAGTGAGCATCTTAAATAATTTGCTGACATGATGCAGCATGCAAAGGTTCATTATTTTTTCCTCTTTCATATTTAATGTGAATTTCCAATTCTACATAGTTGGAATTTACTGTATCTACCTTCTGCAGAATACATTTACAGCACTGAAGGCCTTTATATGTTTTAATCAACCCTGCTAGAGGAGAACTCTAAACATCTTGAATTCAGCTATCCGTTGTTTTTGTTCCTAGAGAGGTCTTCTGAGATTTAAAAAAAACATCTTAAGGAAATGATCAAATTCAAGGTTTGGTTAGGAAAAAGGAATTCAATTTTGCTTTTTCTGGTCCTCTGATTTAAAAGAAAATCTAACACGATGTGCATACAGTATAAAGTGGATATAGCTTTAGTATGGTCAGGTGAATTGTTATTCTGTGCTGTATCAAATTGCTTGCATACACTCTCGCTAGTAATTAGATTGTCACTCCTCTCACACTAGCTTCTGTTTTCATTCCTTGGTTTTCCTTTTGAGAATATTTTTCCTCATATTAGATATTTTATAAAAATGAGCAACTACCAGTTTTTTAAACCCTGGTATAATTGAAGACATTATGTAATTCTGGAATGGTATGTCTTTTATTTACTTGGAACTCATGAAACTAGGCACAATGGAGTGAGCACTGCTTTTTCAGCTGTCTACTGTTCTCAAGTCCAACATACTATTCATATGTCTGAAGAATAATCTCATGTGCTAAGAGTGAGTTGATAGTGTGGAAATAAAGCATGGTGATGGTTTTCCCAAGAGATGCCTTCTGTAAAGATGATGGAGGTCTGCCTGCCAACTCTCAGCCCAAATAGTGACATTTGTGACTTAATAGAAAGCATTTTTTACACCTGCTACGATGTGTGAAAAGCTGTCATGACCTCTAACAAAAGGGGGAAAGCTGTCAGTCTGACTTAAGGAATTTGTATTGGGTGAAGAAGCAAAATATTTTGAGCATATGGGAATAATATTTTTTGCTAACATGGTTTTAAATATAGAGTAGAATAGCTCTGTTATCTTTCCATTTAAACACTGGTTTTGTAGGTCTTTTGCCAGTATTACAGGCATTAAGAAAATACTGGAATCTGTATAATCAATTTCTTAGCATATATTGTATATGCACCTTTTTCAGTGTGAAACAGTAAATGAGGCATAAAAATATGTAAAGTGTTAACATTTGAGACTGAAGATTTAGCAAGATATAATCCTGCTTCCATTGAAATCAAAGGTAAACTTCTGCTGTCTTCAGTAAGAACAGTATTAGACTGTGGTATCTCAAAAACCTAATACAAAAAGAGCTTCTCAAAATACTTCCCTATTACTGTTTTGGGAAAGACTCTGTTATACAAAACAACTCAGTATTTTAGCAGTGTGTGCGCTATTTTTTATTTCGGTGTTCTATATTAAATGAAAAATGCTGGTTTTATCTTTAGACTGAAGGTTGACAGTCCTTGAATTTTAATTTCACTCCAAGTAATTGAGTGAAATAGCATTAGACAGATGTAATGTAACATCTTTCTTTGTCAGTGCTCAGGTGTGCGCTAGTCTGCTTTGTTCATTTTCAATAATGAGATTCCCTTCCCCCACATTCTGTGGACAAAGCAAACACAATGAAGGTAGCGTAAATAAACAAATTGAAAGGGAACAGAGTAACCACGCCTATGTCTGATAAACTGAGTTTACATTGTTGATGATTTTTACTACAGATTTGCACAATCTCTCTTTTCCCTTACTTCAACAGATACTGTCAAAATTAGGACGAAAGCTAGGGAGGTACTATTTAGTTTTATAAAAAACTAAAAAAAAACTCATTTCTTTTAAAAATGCCTTGCAGCATTAAACTTCTAAAATAACCAGAATTAGAAATAATGGAGACTGAGCTAATTTAATTTCCTAAGAAAAATTAATGAACAGCCTAAATATAGAAAAGTAAAATAAACAGTTTTTAATTATATTTTAACACAGTTCTTATTAATTTATTGAATCATACTACCAGATTCTTTTAAAATTTACCCTCACAATAAGGTGAGGAAGGGGTACAGTTATTTACATACTATGTGCTGCTCTTTAAAAGTCAAAGACTGGGGGGTGACTGACCTCTAAAAGTTTAAATGATCAAACTGCAGTGCACATGTGTGTCTTCGCATATCTGAATGTTATGTGGTTGCATCTCCATGCTTGTTTTAAGCCTGCACAGTAGCTCTCTTGCAGCAGTGATATCTGCACTCCGTTTTCATCCATTACTCTTTCAGCAGCTCTCCCACAAACTTTCAGTCCCTCCAGCAAACTGTCTGAATCCTTGACTTCTTACTCCAGCTTAACACTGAGGCTTTCCTCTTCACAGAGCAACTGCTCTACGGAGTCAAATGGGGTAGCATATATTGCATGTGTGTATGTTCCCATTATAACAAAATGCACTTAAGCGTTAAGCCGCCATCACCTTGCATTTTAGACACAGATCAATAGCACCAAATTAACCTTCCTAGATGAGGGAGTAGTGGGTGAGAGAGTGACTATAGCCTTCCTTTTCAGCGACTATTCTGAATGATTGGGTTTATTTCACCTCACTTCTTGTTATACAGCCGCTGTTGTAACTATCTGGCACTTGGTCATAAACCAAAGTGTTGTGTTGAATTACAATGTTCAGCAGAATTGTCTGTCTTCCATCTGGTCTTGTAGATAATTATACTAAATAGTGGTAGACTAAGAAATAAAAAATTATAATGGTAATATATATTTCTAGCAAAACAGGCAAAGCTTTGAGGGAAAATACTATCAAATAATAAATGCGATTCATTGCTTTTAACTTTTTTTCCACTGTTAGTCTGCTTTCTGTCACTCCCATGGAATATTGTCAGTCTTAGAAAACAGAAAAGACAAACATGATGGGGAAACAAAGCTTGTGTGTAATAGCAATAAGGAATATGTTGAAAGAAAACAAATGTGAAAAGCGACCTGTATTTCTATAAGCAAAGTTTGTTTGAATTGCTTGGTTGGATAAAATGTTCAAGAACAGCTTACTTGAACTAGCTGTTTTGCTTCTTAAAATATGTAAGCTTTTCTGAAATGTACATGGACATCAGGGGCTGGGAATCTTTAGTATAATTTAACTTGAGATATATGAAAATCTAAGTCTTTAGAGTACTATTTCAGTAGAAGTGCTTGTCTCCTTCACAGGGACTTTCATAGCACACAGAATAAAACTAATAAAGCAAGAGAACACGAGACTAGCAGAAGCAAAATGTAATCATAAAACCATACTATCAATCCCTTCACCTAGCTGCCAGCTCCTTTCCACATCACCTTCCCTAAATGCCTGCAGAAGAAATAAAAGATGGATTGTGCAGCTTGCCCTAAAAGTTGTGATCCTAGCTGGGGAGGAGGCAAGAGAAATAGTTCCTCCATGAATATGTTGTCATGCCTCTGCCTGCATATTTAAAGAAAAGGACTGCACCTGTTTCAAAATTGGCTGGGGTTTGGATGGGGAGGGGGAAGGAAGAGCTTCAGGGAACTATCTCCCAAATCAGAGCTTTAAAAATTTAAAAACCTCACCTTAAATTCCATGTAATTGAAACTAAAAGTCTGAAATAAGATTTTGCATTAGCCAGTTACTTTCCTGTGCAGCCTCTGTGGAGAAGGAACCATGCTGATGTGAAAATGTCATAATGAGATGCAGTCACAGGGTAAGTGTTAAAACAAAACTTCACCCTGGGACAAAAAGCACTTATGCTGCTGGGTACACAAAGAGACAGACTTGGAATTCTGGATAGAAGTTCCACCCAGACTGCCTGTACAGAAATATGTGAGTACTCAGTTTTTGTAAGAGGGAACAGGATCTCAGCAGTTTGGAGAGCTAAACTCTAGTTCTGAGAAGAAGCATTGCCAGCCAGGCTCTTCTAAGATTAGGTTGTCCTTAATGGAGTAAGGTTACTGAATGCTAAGATCTTGTTGGTTTACTTGACTTAAATGAAAGTTTAATAGATTTTCAAACCCAGACATTGGCAGTATAGCCAATCCATAGGTTTTGAAGAGATCTGCAGGGCCTTTAAAGAAAAGCAGACACGATTACCTGATATTTAGAGTGAAGTGCTCTGAGAGGAAGAGTAGAGGGTTAAAAAGACTGAGTCACTCAGATAATGATGTTGACTACATTGTGTGTGTCCTTGAAGGGGCAAGTTATGAAACGATCTCTTTAAACTGTCGTGGCTGTGTCTAGACTGGCCACTTGAATTTCCACAAGAACACTGACGATCTCATGTAAGAAATCAGTGCTTCTTGCGGAAATACTATGCTGCTCCCGTTTGGGCAAAAGTCCTTTTGTGCAAAAGGGCTAGTGTAGACAGCTCAGATTTGTTTTGCGCAAAAAAGCCCCGATTGCAAAAATGGCAATCGGGGCTTTTTTGCACAAAAGCGCGTCTAGATTGGCACGGACGCTTTTCCACAAAAAGTGCTTTTGCGGAGAAGCATCCGTGCCAATCTAGACACTCTTTTCCGCAAATGCTTTTAACGGAAAACTTTTCCGTTAAGCATTTGCGGAAAATTATGCCAGTCTAGACGTAGCCTTGTGCATTTTGGACAAGATGTGATTAGCATCCTCTTCTCCCACCCAGAAACAGTACGGCACATTACTGCAATATCCACCGCAAAGCAAGACAATAGAAATCATCTAACAGCTGACTCTTCTCCCCTCCCACCCACCTCGTTGGTTGTTCATTTCTTCTTCTCCTTGAACCGTTGAATCCTGCTTTTACATTCTGGCTACGTCTACATTGGCAAGATTTTGCACAAATACTTTTAACGCAAGAGTTTTTGCGTTAAAGTATTTGTGGAAGAGAGCGTCTAAATTGGCATGTGCTTTTGCGCAAAAGCATCTGTGCCAGTGTAGACGCTCTCTTGCGCAAGAAATCTCCGATGGCCATTTTAACCATAGGGTTTTCTTGCACAAGAAATTAATGTTGCCTGTCTACACTGACAGGGAGCAGCCACAGGACTCTCAGAATGGCCCCCCTGCCCCGGGGTAGCAAGAGCCGCACACCAGCCTGGTCACCTGGAGAAATCGTGACCCTGCTTGAATTGTGGGGTGAGGAGTCACTGCTCCAGGAACCTCGGGCAAAGAGGTACAGTGCCATGTCCCTGAAAGAGTAAGGCCCCCAGTCCGGACCATGGAACAGGTCCGGGCAAAGGTGAAGGAGCTCTATCAGGAATATGTGATGGTGATGGAGTGGAGGGGATACTCGGGCAGGACCCAACACCAGCCCCTACTATAAGGAGCTCCACCACATCCGTGGGTTGGGGGAACCCTCTTCCCCCTCCATCATGGTCTGGAGAATGATCTCCATAAATGATCTGGAGAAAGGGGTAAGCAGTGAGGTGGTAAAGTTTGCAGATGATACAAAACTGTTTAGGATAGTCAAGACAGAAGCAGACTGTGAGGGACTCCAAGAAGATCTCACCAAACTGAGTGATTGGGCAACAAAATGGCAAATGAAATTTAATGTGGATAAGTGTAAAGTAATGCACATCGGGAAAAATAACCCCAACTATACGTACAGTATGATGGGGGCTAATTTGGCTACGACAAATCAGGAAAGACATCTCGGAGTTATTGTGGATCGTTCTCTGAAAATTTCCATACCGTGTGCAGTGTCGGTCAAAAAGGCAAATAGGATGCTAGGAATTATTAAGAAAGGGATAGAAAATAAGACACAGAATATCTTACTGTCCCTGTATAAAACTATGGTACACCCACATCTTGAACATCGTGTACAGATGAGATCTCTTTACCTCAAAAAAGATATTTTGGTCTTGGAAAGGGTTCAAAAAAGGGCAACTACAATGATTAGGGGGTTTGGAACGAGTCCCATATGAAGAGAGGCTAAAGCAACTAGGACTTTTCAGTTTAGAAAAGAGGAGACTGAGGGGGGATATGATAGAGGGCTATAAAATCATGAGTGGTGTGAAGAGGGCAGATAAAGAAAAGTTATTTATTAGTTCCCATAATAGAAGAACTAGAGGACACCAAATGAAATTAATGGGTAACAGGTTTAAAACTAATAAAAGAACCTTCTTCTTCACCCAGCGTGTAGTCAACCTGTGGAACTCCTTGCCAGAGGAGGCTGTGAAGGCTAGGACTATAACAGTTTAAAGAGAAGCTAGATAATTTCATGGAGGTTAGGTCCATAAAAGGCTATTAACCAGAGGATAGAAATGGTGTCCCTGGCCTCTGTCAGTAAGAGGCTGGAGAGGGATGGCAGGAGACAAATCGCTTGATCATTGTCTTCGGTCCACCCTCTCTGGGGCACCTGGTGCTGGCCACTGTCAGCAGACAGGCTACTGGGCTAGATGGAACTTTGGTCTGACCCAGTACGGCTGTTCTTATGTTCTTATGTGGTCAACTCCAGTGCCAGGACACTGTCCCTGACCCGGAGGAGACAGAGGGTCAGGTCGGGCCCACAGTGGAGGATGATGATGACTAGGACAGCAAGACCATCTCCTTGTCCCTGGAGCCAGTCCCTGCCAGCCTGGACATCTCCCAGGCCTCTGAGGAGGCTTGGGAGGGATCTTCAGGTACGTGCACGCTCGCTCGCACGCGCAAGCACCCATACCCATACACACAGTGGGGGAGGTGGGTGCATGGTGGGCTGGAGGGCACAGTGTCATGCAGGCTGCTACACCAGCACATGCTGCTGCAGTCTGAGCATGTGCAATCACGTGCAGCAGAAAGGTGTGGGAACATGGCCACAGCAGCCAGCCCCTCCACATGCCCAGGAGCTTGCTGCCAGCCTCATGTGTGGCCACACTAGTTCCGCCCCCAGGGGGACGGGAGGGCGCACACAGCTGCAAGCAGGCTAGCCACAAGGCCCCAGCATGACACCACACACACCCGGAGTGCTGCACACAGCACACGGGCATGCCTGCACGTTTGAGGGAGCAGCTGTTCTCACACACTCACCAGAGTGAGCTGCAGCTGTGTGTGCACCCCCAGAGAGGGGCAGGCTGCACACGGCTCCTCTGCTGCTCATCAGGGGGTCCTACTCTGACCACACACTTCCTTTGCCTGCCTGGCCATGGTGTGTGTGCGGGGGGAGGGAGGGGCAGCACGGTCCTCTGGCCACCTGTGAGACAGGGCGTGCTGTGCAGGTCACACATGTCCTTGCACCCGGGACATCCCCCTCCTGTGGGCCACGGACTGATGCGGTCTCTGCTCCCACAGGAGGGCACAGCCACAGGGAATGTGTGTGCAGGGAGGACTGACCTCTTGTATCTTCTCCACAGCCAGACCAGCAGGGACAGAGGGCCATGCCATGCCACCAGAGCCACCTGCCAGAGCCCAGGGGAGCCTCAGATGAGCCAGGCTGGGGAGAAGCCGATGCACCAGCACATTGGGATGATGCACGACATCCATGCCACCCTGTCGCGCTCGCTGAACGCTGACCTTGAGTGGTGGCAGCAGGTCTGGAGTGATCTCATGGCGGGCTCTGTTCAGGCGGGCATTAAAAATGTCCTTGCTTGGATCCAGCTGGCCGGTGTAGGGGTGCATTAGCCAGGGCATGAGTGGGTAGGCCATGTCCTACACCAGAAACTCCTGGCGGGGGAAAAAGGTGCCTGCCTCCAGCTGGGCACACAGGCTGGAGTTCCTGAAAACGCGAGCATCATGAGCCCTGCCCGACCACCCCATGTAATGTTCGTGAAGTGGCCCCATGGTCCATCAAGGCCTGCAGGACTACAGAGAAGTATCAGTATCCCTTTCAGTTGACAAACTGGGCTGCTCGATGTTCCCGGACCTGGATGGGGATATGAGTGCAGTTGG